TTGTAAAAGTTAACTATAACCGAATAAAAGAAGCCGGCCAAGAGGCCACCTTAACACCAAAAAAAAAAATATATATAAATAAATAAATTTATACTTATTTTGTAGATCTGTATAACTATCTGTAATTACTGTAATTGATGCTATACCCTGCACATGGTACATCCAGCATCAAATAAATATATCCTATTATAAATTATAAATGTATTTTAAAAATATACTAGTTATATTTATATATTAGGGATGTTATTTTTTATTTATAAAAACAAATATCTCAAATTACAAGTTGTAATACAAATATATAGCAAATTAATTATTCATTATTTAAAAATATTGTATCGAATAAATCCATATTTCTCTTTAAAAATAATATCTTACTTACTAATTCTGGATCAAGATTTATATAATTTGGTATAATATTGTTTTCAATATCCAAAAATAACCATTCAGATGAGACTGAAGTTGCTGATATGCACAAATACTTTCATACAATTTTTGATAATATAGAAAACCATTCTTTTTTAAGATTCCACTATTGAAAGGATTCATCTATCACCCTCCTCTTCTAAAGCTAAGTAATTATCAATTTCACTAATTTTATTATTATTATCAGCATATAAATCTAATAAAATTGATTTTTGTTTTTTTAGAATTTTACTAGCTTTGAAATTATCATGAATATCATGCTGAATATTTGACAAAAATGTTGGATATTTAGGAGTTGGGTGAATTTCACATTCCAATTTATACAAACTTTTTAAGTATTCTTTAGTCTGTATAACCATGTTTTGTTTGCAAAATATAGCTTTTTAAAATGTAGATCAAATAAACATGCCAACATCTGTAACAAAATTCTAATAATGATATATATTATTATACAATACTTTTTTAATCTTCTCAAGCATTCCAATTGTAATTATTGGAACTGAGATGTTAATTGTTTTGTATATAATTCTTAATGAAGCATCAACTTTTTTAATCTCAACAATATCTTTCATATCGTCGATAATTTCTTCTACAGAATCGAGAATTGTTAATTCACCTATATCTATTGAAGCTGATTTAATATAAGATTGTTATAATGATATTTTTAAAATTTTTACTAATGTTAAAATAGCTAGATACATTAAAGAAATTGTTACATAAGTATTTCTACTTAATAATAATATTATTTCTTTAAAATCACACAAAATATTATTTAATTCATCTAAAAAAATCTATTCATTATTGCTAAGCATAATATATGCTAATCGTTCACTATTTTTTTGTATGGATGTATTTTTATCTGATTGAAGCTGTGATAAAAGATATACTATTACCCTTTTTAAATAAAGAAGTCTTTTTTATATGTAAAATAATAAATTCTATTATATGAAAATATCTCCAATGGTTGATAAACATTTTTTAAACCCAAGGTCTCTTTGTGTAGTAAGGAGATATTCAGTTTGCTTAAATAAATTATTAAAAAAATCAATCAATCATTTTATATATAAAACCAAATGCCTAATCATGTTTAACCCTTTCTTAACAAGCACATGAGCTGTGCAAGGAATCTTATCAAGTTCTAATAGTTATGTGACCTTTTTTATATTTGATTTATTGTCACATTTTGGAGCCATCGTTTCACTGGTGTTATTGTATTTTGGGCTTCTGGTTTGGGTGAGTGTTTGTTAT